TGTTGTTGTAGCCGACCTTACTCTTCTCCTCACTAATATTCATGCTGTGTCACGTGGCAAACCACTATACAAAACTAGCACCAATGTAATTGTGCCTTCTCAAGAAATCTTAACCTTAATTTTATATGTCTAGCATCAGGTCAGTCAAAGTTGCAAGGTAGTTTTTTGATACTTTCCAAAGACAGAATTAATAACCAGACTACTGTCATAAATATATTAAGTAACTTTAATGCTGCTTAGCATGTCATTGTTATATACTTTCATCCCTATACTCCAGTGTAAATGTATTTTATACAATATGAAGTATTTTTAAAAGTATATGGCTCTAGATAAAATGTTCACAAAACAAGTTGCAATGCAAGTAGAGAATTAGAAAAAAAAAAAAAATCAGCCAGAGAACAAAATCTTTGGAGGATAAACATTTCAGAAAACAAGATGTATGAAAACATCCCATTGCAGTAATTCAGGATGACCGAGTGGTTCCAGTAGTCAGAAGGGCTGCCACTCACTGCTATGTCATCCATAAGAACCTGCCCTGGGTCAGCAGGGACTGCAGGGCACTACTGAGGGTGGCTGGTTCTCAGAGATCCTTGTACCTGACAAGTTTGATAAAGTAACCTTCATAGCAGACACCAGTCTTGGCTCAAGGAGAATGAGTAGGCCTGGGAATGAAGAAGGTCCTGTCTTCCCTTACACAACCACTGCTGGTCTCTGCAGAATATTCAGGTGCACTGGCAAGATGTGGTGAGCAAGTTGTTTTACGAATGACAGGGAGCCTTTATTCTCCCAGGTTACCAATTTGGCACTATTCACAAGACCAAAAATTATTTACTAGCATTATAAAAAAAAAAGTTTCACCATCTGCAAAATGGCATGAATGTTAGGGAGCAGAGCGCAGTGCTGTTGTTTAGTTTTGTTAAATTAATTTTCTATATAGAATCACAGAATCATTTAGGTTGGAAAAGACCTTTAAGATCACAGAGTCCAAGCGTAAACCTAACACTGCCAAATCCACCGTTTAGTTTTGTTAAATTAATTTTCTATATAGAATCACAGAATCATTTAGGTTGGAAAAGACCTTTAAGATCACAGAGTCCAAGCGTAAACCTAACACTGCCAAATCCACCATAAACCATGTCCCTAAGCACCACATCTACACGTCTTTTAAACACCTCCGGGATGGTGACCTCCCCCACTTCCCTGCCAGCCTGTTCCAATG